TTTATTCCCAAGGATCATACTTTATACGCCTCAAAACTATTATATCTATATACAGTCTTAATATGGTATATTAAGTTTAAGTATATTATATTAAGTATTAAGTTATATTAGTATTAAGGTATATTAAGTATTAAGTTAAGTTATAATAGTTTTAGAAAAAAGAAATTGTTCTTATACACTTATTTCACTCAAGTCAACATTTTAAAACCTTCTTAATACCAAACAACTTAATTAAGTGTGATCTGTCTAAAGATTTACGCTTATAGTACTTATTTTAAATTCATTTGTATATCAACTGATTATTTTTAGTAAAATTGTTCTAAACATATCCAGTAAAGTCTATTAATACTCTAAAAACTAGTGTTCTTAAGTTTATTCTAGTAGTAACATTCTGTAGTGTTTATACTTATTAACAAACACGTTATAGCGCGTCTTCAGTAAAAAAAACACTATAATTAGGGTTTCTACTCTATTGGACGTTGTAAATTCATGCAAAATGGATAAAGTAAAGAATATTAAAAGATCTGGTGTAGGTGGTGAACCTTGGATATTATGTCTAGAGATGAGATTAACTGCTATATTCGCATAGCGCACTTAATGCAAAATTTTTATAGCGCGCTTAAAGTGCTAAAATTGTAATTTTTAGCAGCTCAAGATCGTGTGATAATGTAGGTAACGAATGGAAAGAAACGTGAAATAGTTGACGCGTGCTTACTTGCTAGGTATAGCATCTATAGTCTATCTATAGAATAGTCAACAGTTTTTTACGGTTAGTTATGACTGGCTTCACTTGTTTTGTAACTATTATATACTATATGGTGGTTACAGGTTATAGACGATAAATCAATGAGCTTCTCTTCATACAAAAAACAATTTACTATTTACAATTTGCACAAAACTTTACACTGGTTATTTACAGTAAATTACACTCATAATAATTCTTTATCCTACTTTTATATACAAATATTACAACAACTTATTAATTAAACAAACGCTAAACTAACTACATAAATCCAAGTAATTATATCTTAATATAAATCGCATCACCAGACAAAATTTTGCTAACGTTCCACCATTAGCAAAAAATCGTATTAAAACGTAACCAAAATTATAATTTATAATATAACTACGACTAACATCAATAAACCAATCAGCTATTTCGCGTTTCGCACCAAATGTTAAATGCTACAAGTAATATGTGAAAATATTTCACGTTATAATTGTTTCAACCAATGACAAGAGCCGCAATTTGATATTAATTAGCTACCCATTTTTACATAGAATATAGTTCCATCTATGAAATATTAAGGGAGATAACTCAGGACGAAGAAGGATTTTGTATGTTAGCAGCGTAAGTAAATCGACGCATTGAAATATTGTAAAATTATGTCGTTAGATGGCATTTAGTTTAATTTTCTTAACGTACTCCAAACCAAAGTGAAAAAAGGTACGTTATAATTTTAGCGTCTTTATTTCTTTCAAATTATAATTGCTATAATTATTTTTTTTTAATTTAACGTTATAATTTGAGCTATATATTATATTAACTAAAAAAATGCGGTGGGTCTGCTACTCGATATGAGCAAGGCGTACGATAGAGTAAATTATAAAATCCTTCTCGACAAGCTCTATAGTCTTGGTGTAAGAGGCATAGCTTTTAAATGGTTCCAGTCATATCTTCAGAATCGGTCCCAATGCGTTGAAATAGTAAATACTAATTTCCATACTGGAGAAATTGAGCTTATCAGATCCAATGCCATTCCTATCACCGGATCTATTCCTCAGGGAAGTGTTCTGGGTTGTATCCTTTTTCTAGTGTACGTAAATGATCTTCCTCAGTCAATTCCTTTTGATAGCATACTGTTCGCGGATGACGTTTCTATTGTTTTATCTTGCACATGTACTAATTCACTAAAGAAGGACTTAGATGCGGTATTGAACTCAATCACAGGTTGGCTTGATCACAACAACCTACAACTAAATCTAAAAAAAACAAAATTAATCCAATTTAAGCCCCGCCAAAAACCTGCCCTGGAGATCGATTATCAATATAAATCAACTAAATTAGAAATTGTAGACTCGACTACTATGTTAGGTATCGAGATAGACACACATATAAATTGGAAACCCTATATACAAAAAATATCGAGCCGTCTGTCTTCGTTCATATATGCTCTTAGACAATTAAAGCGTGTTACTAATCTAAAAACGGCCCTCTCAGCTTATTATGCGTTTGCACACTCGCGACTCGCCTATGGGATCGTACTGTGGGGTAACTGCAATAACTGCCATGAAATTTTTGTTCTTCAAAAAAAATGTATTAGGATATTGACCAACATCGATCAAACGGCCTCCTGTAAACCGCACTTTACTAAACTTAAAATTCTCACCCTAACAGGTATATATATCTTTGAAGCCTGTAAATTTGTTAAAAAACATGCAGACTTATATTCTCCACTAAATTTAATAAGGCGTAATAATCGCTATCTAAATAAGCTAAAAGTTCCTTTCTCTAGCTTAAAACTATTTTCATGCGCTCCACATTCTATGTTAATTAAAATATATAATCATATCCCTAATTATATTAAAAATTTAGATAAAAATAAGGTTTTTGAAAAACAATTAAACGATTTTCTCATCCTAAAAACCTATTATAATATGTCTGAGTTTTTCGATGATAAAAGTATTTGAAAGTTGGCCAAGATAAAGAACTCATCTTTTAACTGACTGTATGTCTCATAGTTGATGCTTCTACATGATTGGAATTGTTTTGGGACTTAAATGTATGACTTATATATAGTGCTGAACATGTATAAATAATAATTAATTTAATTTAAATATAATTTAATTTAATTTAAATATAATAATAATACCCATATCAATTAATTACCTTCGTTTTAAGTTTGGATTGTTCCTAAATTATATTGTAACTATCACTTAACTTTAATTTGCAACGCCCTTACAGGGTATCACATGTATGCTGTCATAGTTTTAAGTTTATTAAATTGTACCATACCTGTGAAAAGCAATAAATAAATGAAAAATGAAATTAACCATTTCTAATTATGTCACATCATTCGATACATTAGTCGGTAATTCGCACGCGAGCCGGTGATGTGATGCATTTTTGTTTGTTGACAAATAAATAAACATTGTGAAGTAATTCCGTGTTCTGAAGTGATAAAAACACTTGAAATGTGCGCGTAAACTACTGTACTTCCATGTTGTGTATGTGTATTATGCCGTCTATCAATATCATATATACATACCAACATAAGTTAGGTATGTCATTGATATATACCTTATCTGATACGGAATTTATCCACCTTTCTAGTCATATATAACACATTCCATATAATTATACAGAATAACGTTTTTTTGTGACAAATTGGGTTTTTTCAATTGTTTTTTTGACCTTGGGTGACGTGTGAAAGGCCATTTATTGCACAAAACGATCACCATCACACCTTACAACTTTTGCTCTTTATAAAGGTTTTGTAATCCTGTCAAAAGAAAAAATCGCTTAGAAACATTGCGTTTTCTAGACAATCATAAAAGCTTCATAGGAGTGAATATTCTTCTACAAGATCAACTATGTACACTAAAGCAAGTAAAAATAATCTTTTCGTATTCTAAAGTTTTTCTATAGATAAAGCTATAAACAAAATGCTCCCAACAGTGTTTTGAAAAAAGCTTTAAATTCTTATCGCCATTTTTATTTTTAAAGAATGACTATGATGTAGCCGAAAAAAATTTCTTTTCTTTTTAAAAAGTAAATCTAATTTGAAATTAGCTTGAAGAAGCCTAGAACTTCTTGGAAAGGGTGTGTTTTGTGAGTTATTTTGTATATTTAAGCTTTCTATAAATATTTAAAACTGAAAATCGATAACTATATTTTTATTAAGTCTATATTTATACATAAATATTTAAAATTCAGCGAGCGCATTATTTTTATGACAGGTATTTCATTACTTTTCACAATGTATTTAAAGTAAAAAAGATTAAACGTAGCGCGAAAAAGTCTGAAATATTATATCTAATTTCGCCATGTTGCAATTTTGATAGTTTATATTTTGTAAGCCATTAAACTTGAAATCTATTAGTATTAAGAGAATTGCGTCTTATGTTTGTAACGCTTTAGTATTTTGGTTTTAAAATAGCATTACTAAGAAAACTATCATAGACTATAAATTATCTAAAAACTGTTTATAAGACTATCCTCCTAATAATCCTGTTCTAAAAATGGTCTTGTAGCATTCTAGAAGGGCTACTTGAGAAAAAAGATAAGAATCACTCTTAACACTACCTACAAATAGTTTCTCAAAGCAGTCTTGTGATCTACTAATAAAGTTGTGCCCACTTTTACTTTAAATCATCTTGAAACCTTCTTCGAGATATCTTGAGGGAATTTGAACTCTTAAAATATTCAATCGAATTAAATTTTATTACATATCTTATAGTATATATTTAGATATAAGTGTGCTGCTTGGGTTTGAAAGAACAATCCCTAGAGTTTCTTGCTTGTCTCGGGGAAGTCAGCGTAGCGAACGAGTTAAATCAAATTACGTTTTCAAGTGTAAAAAAATTATCTTGTCTGTGGAATGAATGATTATTTGACTTTGACTTTGATGGCAACTGGTGGTGTAGAAGAGAGGTTGGTTTGCTTACACGGAATGTACTCACTCTCACCTTTAAAACATTTTATTTATCGGAGAGTACATACGAAAGCAGTGAATTCATTCCTTTGCTGTCCGCAAATAGCATTAGAGGCTATAGTAATAATACGTAGTGATAAAAAAACAACAAAAATTTTCATTTGCTAGAAAGTAGTTATCGTTGCATTACCTAGAAATTGACGGTATTAAGGTAGTAAGTTTCAGAAATATGTAGATATATTTCAATAATATGTTGGTCAGTTTCTGTAATATGTAGCTAGGTTTCAGTAATACTTAAGGCAGTGGTAGAAACAGTAAATGTTATCGGTAAATGGGATTTTTCAGAATTTTCATTACAAAACATCCCGCGGCACAAAAGCGCGGGATGTCTCTCGCTCAGATTCGGCAGCCTCATGACAGCGCTGGTGGTCATTGTGAGTACAGTTATAATGAATATAAAGATTTATTTTTATATATATTTATATTTTTTGTGAAGTGAAGAATCATCATTATCATGATGATGATTCAGACTTCAGAACAAATTTTTATCGAGTACTTGATATGGCAATATTTTTATCACCTATATTTTTTTACTCTGTATAATATACCGATAAATTTTAATTAATACATTGTTCCAGCTGTACTCCATGTGCTCTGTTCAACGTTGCGTCGTAGTACTGTCTCAAACCATACAATTCATGGATTTTAATCAGTGGGCCTCGTTGGTGGCACTCTCCACTATGATCGCAGTTATCGCAATCCACCTCACATCTTTCGCGCTCAGCGCTGTGATGATGTTAGGAGCTCTGAAGGTGAATTGTCTCAACTGACGCCATATAATATAATACGTTGCAGTCGTTGAACAACTTTAGCGACTGCCTTCTGTATATTCCAGCTAGCCAAAGATTCGTCAAACATTTGATGAGTGTCCTAGGAAATAGAAAAGGCTAAAAAGTCGTTGAAAAACCAAATACAAAGATACGACAACAAGCACATAGAAAAATTCGTGAGATCCACTGGTTCGTTCTGTGGCTTAGTTGGCAGAGCGTCTGGCACGGTTTGCTAGAAAACCTCGGTTCGAATCCGGCCGGATCGAAATATTTTTTCTAAATGTTCAATCTTTGTATTAATTAAAAGTTATAATAGAAAAGGATCCATTGTTTTAAGAAACGCCATAGTAAGAAATTTTAAAGTAGTGTAGAAAGAGCTTACAACCAATAAAACTTGGAGAAAGCTAAATCGACAATTTCAAGTATAAAACCACCATGAATTCTAAAATGAGTAATTAACATTTCAGGAGCAAGCAAAGATGATAAAGCCGTGGGTGGTATTTAAATCGATACAGCTCATCGCTGAGGTTCTGCTGGTGCTTTGGGTGACCGTCACCTCGTTCCACCATTTGTACAACAACGCCTTACAGATATATATTTTACAATTCGTTAGCATCCGTAAGTGTACTTTTGCAAGATTTTGGAGATGAGAAGAAAAGTAGCTTGTTGGATGTGAGACATATAATTGAAGTGAACACGTCTTGTATGGAATTAGATGGCTCCAAGTAGATTTCGTCAAATTATTTTCTTGTATCGAGTGCCTAGTTGAAAAGGTTGTATATTTTTCTAATAACAAAAAATAAAAATTATAATTGTTTAGAGTTCCGATTGTTACACATAGGAAGTGAAACTATTTTTTCTCGCGTATCGTGATGCTATGAGCATATATTTATTTTGTCAAATAAACCTAGGTTTCAGGTATCACGGAAGACTGAGGTGGTAAAGTCATCAACCAGTCATATCTAATATTAAATTAATGTAAACTCGACTTAATCACAGTTACAAAAGTTATTAATGAAATGCCTTATTTTAATTTTCCTAAGAACATTCGACGTTACGCTGCATACATTTTACAACATATTTTATTTAATTTTACATACATACATACATATACTTCACGCCTTTTTCCCATCGGGGTAGGCAGAGACAACAGTCTTCCACTTGCTACGGTCCTGACACACATCTTTCGCCTCATCAACACGTATCAATGCTTTCATACACGCTCGTCGGTTAAGGGTACTCTTGACCTGACCCTTCTTTAGGATGGCCTCAATTTGGTCATGATAAGTTCTCCTTGGTCGGCCCATACCAACTTGCCCGCTCACACTCGCCTTATATATCTGTTTCGTCACATTCTTTCATTCATTCTCTCTACATGTCCGAACCATCTAAGCATCCCTTTCTCTATCTTTGTGACTATATCTTCTTCCACGCCGCAACGCTCTCTTATCACACTGTTCCGTAATTTATCCATCCGAGTCACTCCAGCCATACTCCTCAAAGCTCTCATTTCTACTGCATTAATTCTACTTTCATGCTTCTTCTGCCAAACCCAACATTCACTACCATACATAAGTGTAGGAACCAGCACGCCCCCATGCACAGCCAATCGTGCCTTTTTAGACACTTTCTGGCTGCCCATGAAGGTATGCAAGGCACCATTCACCTGATTCCCTGCGTTCACTCTTCTTTCAATGTCTCTTTCACATTTTCCATCACACGTAAACATAGAACCCAAATACACAAACTCTTTCACTTGATCCACTTTCTCTCCTTCAATCAATATCGTGCAAATCGTCATATCTTCCTCTCTTTCAAAAACCATTACCTTTGTCTTTCCCACATTAATTTTCATTCCTTTCCTTTTAAGAGCACCATGCATAATATTTACCATCTCCTGCAACTCTTCCACTGACGATGCTAATACCACCTGGTCATCGGCGTATAGGAGGCACTTAATGAGTAAACCATTCATTCTCAGCCCATACGTACTCTCTTTCAAAACTTTCAAACAATTGTCCATAATTAGGTTGAACAGCCATGGCGACGCTACACATCCCTGTCTAACACCTTTCCCGATATCGAACCAGTCAGTGTAAGTACCATTTATTCTGACACAGGCACTGGAATCCTCATAGTGAGATTTCAGTGCCTGAACTAGACTGCCGTCCACCCCATACATAGGCAAAGTCGACCACAATTCTTTCCTTGACACTCTGTTGTAGGCCTTCTCCAAGTCTATAAAAGCGCAATAGACTTTTTGTCTTTTAGCCAAGAACTTTTCGTTTATGTTACGCAAGGAGATGACCTGATCCATCCATCCCATTCCTCTTCTAAATCCCGCTTGCACGTCCCAAATTTTTTCTTCCGTTTCTTTCATCACTCTCTCAATCAATACCATTGCATATAATTTGCCGACAATGCTAAGAAGACTGAATTCGCGGTAATTTTTGCAGTCTTGCTGCGACCCTTTTCGCTTATATAATGGTACGATGACAGCCTTGCACCAGTCTCCTGGCACTCGGCCGCTTGATCAACAAAGGTTGAAAAGGCGGTACAGCTGACTAGCGATCACACCCTGTCCAGCCCTCAGCATTTCAACAGTAATTCTGTCATATCCCGCAGCTTTAATTATTCAATGCCTTTATAATATCTTCCATGCTTATACTTTCATTTTGACTTCCGCTCGTCTCTATGGCGATCTGAGCCTGCATTTGTACATCTTCCTTTTCAAACAAACTTTCAAAATACTCCTTCCATGTCTTTAATACGCATTCTTCTCCTTTCACTATACTGCCATCGTGGCCTCTGATTTTTTGCAGTTGCGAGGTTGTGGTTTTGCCTCTAGCTGTTCTTAAGGACTTCCAAAACCACTTAATGTTGCTTTGAAAGTCATCAGATAATCTCCTGTCAAACTCGTCTTTCTGGCACTCTTTCTTCCTTCCCACAACATCTTTCGCTACATCTTTTATTCTTTTATACTCTTTCCTTGCTTCGTTTACATCCTCTTTCGTTGCCTTTTGTATTCTTTCATTAGCTTTCATAGATAACCAATCTAACCACGCTTTCTTCTTATCAGACAGAACATTACGGACATCTTCATTCAAACAAACATTCCTCTTCTTCAGCCCTTTTTTCCTTTTGGATACTCCACACATATCAGTAGCGACCTCTACCATTCCTTCCTTAAATAGTTTCCATAAATCTTCAATACTACATACTTCCTCTAGTCCATCAAACCTTTCAATCAGTTTACTCACATATTAATTTTTCACACCTGTCTTCTGCAAATTCTCAACTTTTATTCGTTCTAGGACACTAACAGGTTCCTTCACTCGATGCCGCCACCTTGTAAAAAGACCACCTATTCGGCTAACCACCAGAATGTGGTCGATGTCTATACCAACTCCGCGGTATGCTCGCGTGTCAAGCACCTTTTTTCTTAATCTTTCACCCACTATTACAAAATCTATCATACTCCTCAAACTTCTTTCTTTCTTCTTGAAAGAAGATAAAATTTTGCCAAAAAGGACTGAATTATGAATGTTACGATGTTCTAATGATTCCTCTTCTTCTAATGATAACTAATTGCGTTATTGCCTTCTTTATCCTTATTTTTACATTTGGTCTACTAGTATCGAGATCAATTTTTATTTTTTTAATTATGTATGTTGAATTAATATGACTAACTTTAAAATATGTCTCCCCTTTGTATTTTTCATAGACATAGTTCTAAATACAGTGTATGTATGAATGAACTTACAAAAATTGATAATTCAAATGAAATTGTGCTCAGTAATTGGATGAATAATGGGTCGAGGTTGATTCAAATGAATCAAGCTCGACTATTTATTCCATAAGCGTGAACAATATTCAGTCGATAGTCGATATTTATCGATTGCAATCACTAGCTGTTCGCAAGCGGGCAACACTTTTGCACAACGAACTGTCGTTTTATTCAGTCTTAAAAAAGGCAGACTATAATAATAATAATAATAAAGTTTAATAGAGTTTAAAATAATAATAATAATAAATTTGTATTAAATAAAATTTATTATTAACTGATAATGGAAATTAGAATAAATTAAAACATACTAATTAGTACTGCAGTCTATCTAATTACAAACTGTTGATACAGATAAATTCTTTTACTAGTATTTATTTGGTTTGTGCTTTTCCCTGTTGAAATCAGGATGTTGTTTAAATTTTAATGGCGTCTTGCAGCATCCTAGGTAGGTAACGGACTTCTTTTGAAAGGACCTGGTTTGTTGGGTCGATAGAATAATAAATACAGTAGAAGTGCTTGGTGACTTAGGCACGTGTGCAACGTGGAGTTCCACATACTTCAGCTCAGTTTGCCATTTTAACATTTTTACTTATGTTTTACCTACCTACAACCAATCATTATAAAGATTTCATAGTGTTTAACGTATGATTGTGTGAGTCTTGGCAGCGGTTCTGATAGTAATCGAGACTTAAGACAATTCATTGTTTTTTTTTACTTCCGTGTGTGTTTGTCGAACATAATTGAATGTGTAGAACATAACATGGTATTTAACGCGGTGTTCCTTTTTTCTCCCGTGTCCGAAGAAGGACATCAGAGCATAATGTTTGTTACTAGCACTGTGGATAAAAGATTCTGAAATAAATACTTTTATTATTATTTTGGATATCTGTTGTTGACTTTTGCGCCTCCCATGGATTAAAAGTTTAAGTTTGAATTTTTAAATGGAAGAGGCTGCATTCCCTGGCAATGGCACAGTCGGCCGAGGTTAGGGACTCAGTTTCAAGAACCGACGAACAATATGCACTGTTATTATTATTATTATATTATGACGGTCTTACAAAAATGACTTGTTACCCTTTGTTAACGCAAACTTTCCTATATTTATTGTTTACATCTATTTCAGTGGTTGAGTTCTATATGCTGGTCATCGTGGCGAGCTACTACAAGGAACTGACGGAACGCAACGACGAGGCCGAACGGTTGCGCTTCATCGACAAAGCTTGGTATACCGAGGTCTAAAGCGACTTCTCATCTTATTACAGGGCTAGCTTCTTGTTGGTGTAGCATCCTCCACTCCTCACGGTTCATAGCCAGTTCCTTGACCTCTATTTAGCTGTTCAGTTTGATCTTGTTTTTTTTTATTCATTATACGCCATTACTGGTCTTCCTCTCTATCTTTTTCTTTTCCCAGAACCTGAGCTTAGAAGTGACCTTCTCGTATATCCCAAGGGGTCGATTTTTTTGTCCGAAATAACGTTTGGTTGAATTTTCATTACACCGAAAAGCGAAGTATAACGAAACAGTTGTTATTTCAGGATATGTTGAATGTTTATCGCAAAGACACGATAAGGTTCTGTTAGGTTAGGTTACGTTAGGTTTAAAAGAAAAAACATTTTCCTCTCAAAATTACTTTCGAAGTTATGAAATTTCCACCAAACGTTATTTCTGGAAAATGTTCTTTGGCTTTACACAATAAACTAGTTGCCATTCCACAGCCGTGTTTTACTGACGGACATTTACACTGGCGTCGTGAATGGGATTTTTGTTTTTTTTTTTTCATCTCCATAAATACCACGCGTGAAAGTTATTAGATGCCGTGCGGAAAAATTTAAGTGTTCAATTTGTGTTCGGGACGACGGATGACCTGTGTGTCGTGTGGGACAGTTTATTGGACTGAATAAAATAAATTATGAATTCAAAATGGCCACGTTGGTTACGTTAGTGGGCGAATGTACTTTTAATCTTATGTGTGATTTGTGCGCGCCTGACGTACCGGAAAAGAAGTCGTTTAGTGAATTAGTGGAAATAGTTAAAAATCGCGTGGAACCCCAAACATCCGAAATCGCAGAAAGACAAATATTTAGAGAACGGAAACAAAATGGCGGTGAAACGATTATGGAATTTATTAGATTCGGCGATTTAATATTAACCAACTTCGAATAAACAACAGACCGATTAGTGAGTTAAAAATGATTACCCTGCAATGTTTACGGATATATTGGGAACTTGTAAAAAAGAGATTCGTTTACGCTCACAGATAACGAACCAGTTACCTTTAGCACTGCGCTCGGCAGTGGAAAAAAAATTTGTCAGATTAGAGCGCGAAGGGTCAATTTACCCGGTGGAACATTCGGACTATGGGACACTAATGGTGCCGGTTATTAAAACGTCAGGTGACATCCGCATCTGTGGTGATTACAAATCTACAATAACAATTTTGAATTGAAAACGAATCTTTATACCACGGATTGGCGAGTGATTCGCCGCGTTGAGTGAGGGTGAAGAGTTTTCAAAAATTCATTTGACTAAGGCATACATGCAGGATCCATTTTCATTTGTTATTTTCATTTGCAGATTCACAAGCTTGTACGGCCAGTTCAACTCATGTAAGGTACATTTGCTTTTTGTTGTGCGGTTTACCTGACACAGTAGTATTTTTGGATGACATATGTGTCACATGCAAAGACAGACAAGTACATAAAAAAAACCTGCGAGCTGCATTTTTCCCATATACTAAGGCTGTAATCGAGCGACTACTTAGAACATGGAAGAAGCGACTAGCATAAATAAGCCTGACAGTAAAAATTAAAAAATGTCAATTCTTGTGAAAAAGTATATTACACCTAGGTTTTATTATTGACAAAAACGGCTTACGTAGAAAATCGAAGCTATTGTACGTGCCCCGAAACCTGAAAATATAACTCAACTGAAAACTTTTTTGGGCTTAATAAAGTACTAGGGAAAATTGTTCCAAATTTAAGTTCTTTGCTTCATCCCTTATATGCATTACTTAAAAAAGATCAGGTATGGGTAGGGAAAGTTGACTGTGAAAATGCATTTGAAAATATAAAAAAAACACTCGCGAGCGATAAAATGTTGTGTCATTATGATCAGTTCTTGCCGTTAGTATTATTTTTTTATTTCTAAACTTAATCTATTATACTATTGTCAGTAGACAGTAGTGCGTACGGAATGGGGGCGGTTTTCGCACACCGTTATCCGGACGGCTCGAAGCGGCCAGCCACCTGTGCGTCGCGGTCTTTGACTGGTCCAGAAAAAAACTGTAGTCAATTAGATGAAGAGGCGCTAGCCATCCTATACGGTATGGAATATATAGAACAGCATCAGTATTTTTATGGTTGACAATTTAAGGTAAAAACAGACCATACACCATTTGTGTACATTTTCGGCCCCAAAGGGGGTATACCACAAACGGCGGCTAGCAGGCTACAACGTTGGGCTGTAAAATTAGAAGCGTACGAGTTTAGTATAGAATAAGTTACTTCGAAGGGCAATGGAAACGCAAAGGCATTGTCGCGGCTGCCATTGGCTTGTGCGAGTGATGGAACGAACTATGCCTAATGCCGACAAGCAGCATTATTTACATATGGTTAGTGAAACTCTGCCAGTGAGTTATAAAGATATTGCAATAACAACAAAACATGATAAATGCTTAAGTAGGATTTTTCGGTACATCATATTCGGATGGCCATGTAAGTGGGGAAATGAAGAAGAAAAGTGTTTCTTTTACAGGCGCAATGAGTTGTACACAGAACACGGTTGTATGTTGTACAAGTACAGAGTAGTGATACCACAAAAGTTGCAAAAGTAAGTCTTATCAGAAATTCACGACGGGCATATGGCAAAGACTTCCTGCAGATTTTGCACCATTATACGGAAAATATTTTATTATTGCTATTGATGCCTACAGGAAATGGGTTGAAGCTGAGGAAATACGTAGTACGTCAGCGTTCGAAACGATTAAATTTTTCAGATTTACTCGCAAACTAGCGCTGCCACAGTTCTACTTTCAGCATTATACGCGTGTATGCAGGCTGTTCAAATTCAAATTCAAATTCAAAATAATCTTTATTTCATAGGTAAGCATTATTACACTTGAAATCGTCACAATGGTTAAACTCTACCGCTCATTCGTAAGGCAGATTCCCCTG